TTTTTTTCTGGAAATACCAGGGCCTTTGTCCTGAGATGCATCCCAAGCCACCAGGATTCCCAGGCTGGACTCAGACTTGCAATTTTCCTGCCTTAGCCTTCCCAGTCCTGGGATTACAGAAAGGTGCAATCATGCCTCTGTATGAGTGATTTTTATTTTTTTCTAGCACTTACATATATTGTCTAAATTTTCTATACATTTCTTGAAAACATAAAAATTTTACAAACATGAAAAGGAAATAATGATTTAAGAATTATATCTTGGACAAACATGAGAATGTAGAGGTTAACATTAAACCTGAAGGGGCTGGGGAGATGGTTCAGTAGAATAAGCGCTTTCCTGGCAAGCATAAGGGTCTGAGTCTGAGTTCAATCCCTGGTTCCACAAAAAACAACAACAACAACAACAACAAAACATTAAACCTGAGTTGACAGACTCAGGTCAGCCCTGAATTTGCAGCAGTGCTCCTGCCTTAGCTTACTGAATGCTGCCTTAGCTTACTTATAGGCGTGTCCTACCTCGCCGGACCAGATGTTTGATTTTAGGTAAACCATCTAGCATGTGATTATTGCAAATGAATAAAGTATTTGCAACTCAGAAACTAGTAGATTTTGTAGATCAAAATAGGAATCAGTCCACCTATGAGCAAACTTTTAGACAGGAATCTTAGGGAAGCTTAATATTTTGGCCTTTTAGCATCTAGAAATGTGGTCATTTCCAGAAATCTCAGGGATTTCACCTTCAGCTCATTGTTCTTACCATGTAGATCTCAAAGAGCTGCTGCATGACCCTGAGCCATCTCTGCGCATCCTTGCCTCCCAGGCTCTGTTCCGAGTCCAAAGGGTGGAGTCCCAGGCAGAACCCGAGCAGACAGTTTGCTGGTGGAAGAAGCTCCTGGGCTGTCTCACTACCTAGAAATATGAGGCAGTCAACATCAGGTAAAAGCTAACCCTTTCAGAAGTCACAGAAGAAACAATACACCATCTTGCTTTTTACAGATGTAAGCAATGCCAGCACAAATGTACCTCCATCCATTTAATTATCCCCAACATGTTTCTCCCCAAAAAAACCCTTTAACTAATTAGAATATATAGGAGAAAGTGGTTCTTGGTTTAAATTTGCATGTTTAATAAAAAATTTATTGAGATTTTGAGGCACAGCAAAATATTCACAAAGTTTAAGTCTTGATAAACCAGTATATATTATTTATTTGTT